CCTAAGATGCAAAGAAAGAAGGCTTCTCCTCTGAGCCACCCTCAGCCCAGATGCCCCCAGCAGAGACCCCTTCATCCACCATCCACATGGGACCCTTCTGCCACCCAGGGCAGGGGACATGGCTCTCTCCCACGTGCCTCCAATATTCCAGAGTCCACTGCTAAATCGCCCACATTGCCTCAGGATCCTCCTCCATCTCCTTCCCCTCCTCTCTCCCAGTCTCTGAAGTACAATCTGAGTCTTGGGATAGAGACGCTTTCTCCATTTCCCCAGAGATGCAAGACAAGTTTAGAAAGTAGCACCTCCACTGAATCCAAATGCAGCCTTCACAGCTGCAGGGAACTGTGACAAGATGGTGGAAAATCTTCCGTCAGCATGGATGGTGGAGTGCTTGGATTCCAAAGGTGACCTTGTACCGCTCCTTCCCCAAGTTCTTCCAGAAAAAGGGTCCGTCTGGAAGGAAGTTGGAGCAACCAATCTCTGAAAGGCTCCTTCAACCCAAGAAAGGGACCTTCCTTCTGCTCCCCCAGAGAAAGACCCTACAGATGCCATTCCCAAACTCTTTCTAGCCACAGAATGCTGCCTTCAAATAAAACAATGTCATATACCCCCAATGTGTAAAATGGCTCAAGGTGGAGCTATAGCATGCATGGGGGCCAGAACCAGCTCTCCTCTGCCAGCTTTGGGGACACCCTCACAGCCTCCCAGGTGCTCCGAGTATTTGTCCCTGCCTTCACCCCCTGGGGCTGTGAAGGACTCAGTTTGCCCTTCTAGAATATGGACACTATTTTCTCCTCTCCCTCCCTGCACTGGTCCCCAGCCTATGTCTCTTCAAGTAGAAAGGGGCATCCAACTAAGGACAGGAGAACTGGGAGGGGAGCCCGATGAAGGGTAGCAATTTGGACCCTCCACATGCCGCCAGGACACCACCACAACTGACTGCCCGGATCCCACTTAGCTCAACAAACATTTGCTGGACCCCCGTGAAAACTAGTCCAGACCCTTCTTCCTCAGAGCACCCAGGTCCTGGAGCCCCACAGCCTCTCCCTGGAACAGATGTTCCCAGACTTTCCCACCTGAACTCCTTGAGAAAAGGGGAAGAGCCTGGGCAGGGCTGGGGTTGGGGGAGCAGGTTTCCTTTCCCCAGAGCAGGGATGGGGGTGGGGTTAGGTGGTCTGGAATGTGCTGTCACTCCCTCCTCCTGCCCAGGTGGGAGCAGTGAGTGCCCCCAGCCCTCAGGCTCTGAGGGGAAGCTCCTCTGAGCCTTCCTCAGGACAGCTGCCCCCAACAGGGTCCCCTTCACGCGCCATCTCACCCCAACTCAGCTCTAAAAATGGTTCTCTGGTTTTCAGCCTCGGCGCCTGCCCACAAATTAGTGTCTCCAACACGGCCTCTTGGGACATGACTTCAGGGAGGCCCCTGGGGAGCCAGGAGGCCTCGGCAGAGGGAGATGGTGCTGGCAGGGTCCCCTTGGGAGGAGCCAAGAGTGAGCAAGGCCCCTCTCCCAGCTTCTGGGATGCCCCCACCAAGGCCACCCAGCCTCACGGTGACAGCTCTGCTCTCCCTGCCCAGGCAGAGGAGAGAGGATCTCCCGCTGGAGCCCCTCCCCTCTCCGCCACCGCAATTCAGCAGCTGTGTCCTCAGCCACCGTCCTGGGCACAGCTGTGCTGGAGGAGAAAGCAGCAAGGGGGAGGGCCAGCCAGCCCCGGGGCCCTCCAGCTCCAGGGTCCAGAGGCCCACCTCTTACCAAGCCTGAGTCCCACAGTGAACCCACAGACAGGAGCCACTGAGAAAGCAAGGGAAGCCCAGCCTCCCCACGGCTCTGATCTGCAGTCTCACACTGGCCCCCTCCCACGGCCGCGCCGCCCCCCCCCCCCCCCCCGCGGTCCCGCAGCAGTCCACTTGTTAGGGGACGAGCCCTCCCCGGATGCCCGCACCTCCCGCCACCAGCCTGGCAGGTGCCCTACACGGAGGCCCGGCAGGGCGCTAGCGGGCCCTCGAGGAGGAGCTGGGAGGGACGCGCGGGCCAGTACTCACAGGTAAGCCGTCAGGGGATCCAGATCCCCTGGCACGGCGGAGAGCCCGAGCTCAGAGCAGTCGGCAGACAGCATGATGCGGTCCTCCTGGCAGTGGCAGGCGGCCGGGCAGGCGGCGGTCGCCGGGCCAGGCTGGGGGACGACGCCGGCGCATCGGGAGGCGCACAGCGCAGCGCAAAGCCACAGCGCCCGGAGTCCGGGCGGGCTGGGCATCTCGGCGGCAGGCGGCCGGGGCACCTGGCGGGCGGACGGGCGAGCGCACCTGGGCCGCTTCTCGCCTCTGGGTCCCGCGGCCGGGCCGGCGGGCTGTGCCGTCGGTGAGGACCGCCCCGCGGACTCTGCTGGGTGGCGGCGGCGGCGGCGGCGGGGAGCGCGGGGACGGTGCAGTCAGAGAGGGGCAGGCATTGTTGAGTGATCTTCGTTATTCAGTTTCACAGGCTGGGCTTGGCAAGGGAGGGAGACACAGGCGGAGGAGGAGTCAAGGAAACTTTCTGCGCTGTGGCTCGCTCCCCTTCCCTCCTTCCTTCCGAGCTGGCAGGAATTTCATCCAGGAAAGAAAAAAAAAAAAAAAAGCAAAGAAACCCTAAGAGAGTGAGCAGAGAGTGCATGTCAGGGACCTGCACTTGCACTTGTTTGGAAAGATGTGATGTCCCAGGGCCCAAGCCTGCGGGCTGGGGACCCTCTTGCCGCAGGGTCAGCCACTGGGTCACATGGGACTTGGAGGAGGCCCTATGCAAGCAACCTTAAAAGTTCCCATAGGTCCCCATCCCCTCTACCACATTTTCCACACGAGACCCAAGGGGGAAGTGATTTGTTCAAGGTCATATGGCGAGGGGAGGGGGAAGCCCCAGAACTGGAATTTAGTAGAGTCTGTCCTTGTCACCCTGTTTCCTGGAGGAGGGCAGTGAGGAGTTGTCCTGAAAAGGATCAAGTTTCCACTCTATGGAGAGATGGGGGTGGTAGGCAACTAAGAGGGGTCTGCTCACTGAGGAGCCACGCCCTGCCATCAAAGAAACGGGTGCAGATTCCCACCCACTGGGTGTACTTTGCATGCATGCAGCCCCAGTCAGGTCTAAGGCCCTGGGATCACCTTGATCGTGTCCCATGACGGAGTTAGGTAGACAGGTGGGAGACTGAGCCCCGCCGGTTGTCAAGAGGCTTCCTGAAAGCGGATTGGCGCCACCTGGAGGCCAGTGCTGCAGCTGCAGCTCAACCACGACCCTGCGGCGGGAATCCCAGGGTCCTTCCTGGTCAGCATCCCAGGGCTTTGAGGGGCAGGGCGGATGGTGGATAAAGATGGGATCAAGTCCCTCTTCTCTTCTTAGACCACATGGGGCTGGCTGTGCTTCCTTCATGTAGCCTTTTGCTTTCTGTGGTCTCTCCCACGCTGAGCCAAGCCCCAGTGCAGAGCTAGAACCAGGCTCGGTCTCCCATTTGGGCCCTGTCTTCCCATGGTCCATCCAGAGTGTGTACCCGAAGCCTGGAGACCTCAGAGGCAGCCAGTATTCCTTCCACCCCATACCTCCGTACCTGTCCATACTTCACATCAACCTCCGCCGCCCCTGCCCCCCATCCCATTCTCTTCTATTGCTGCTAACCTCCCAGGGGCCTGAGGGGCTCCTATTACCAGAAAGACCCACAAATGGGAGCCGCCCTGCCTTCCCAGATCCCAGCCTCACTCATCCATAGCTTGGCTCCATTCCCCTGCCTGTCTGCAGAGACCGCTGCTCCAGTGTGAGGGACCCAGACTGAAAAGAGCCATAGGTGAGCCTTGTCTTGACCTCAGCAGCAGCCCCTCGTGGTGGGCTTGGGGGGAGCTCAGAGCTAGTCTCCAGCCTGCCAGTTTGAGAGTCATTATGGCACCAACCTCTGACTCCTGATAAACATAATTTAGAAGAGGACATGATATCCATTCCCCTTGGGGGCGGGGCATGGGGGAGTGAGCACCAGAGTCTAACCTCGTCCTGGGAAGGCTCCTGATGGAGCAGAGAGCCTACCTCTGTTCCCCTTCTCCAGCCAGGCCTGAGAAAGGCCCTCTCTGAACCTCTGACCCCATGTACTTTTCTAGGAACCCAGGTTGGCCAGGGAGAGCTCTGCCTCCTCTTCCATTTGGGATCCTAACTGCATTTCAGGGCCTTCTGCTCTGATGTGTCCAGGCTTTCTCTGTGTCTCCCCCCTCCCCCCCAGGCCCCCCCCCCCCCAACCAGGGACAGTTGGTGTTCAGCATCAGGCACTTTGCCATCCAATACGATGCAGTCTAATCAGGGAGTCAGACAGGAGCTTATAAGACCGTGTCACATGGTGTGCAGCTGAGTCCTAAAGTGCTTGGGACAGACTGCTTTCTCCTGGGGGCCCTCAACCCCACCCTATTTTCTGTTCCCCCTCCCAGTTTTTCTCTCCTCCCAAAGTCCCTCACTGCCTTCTCTTCTACCTCCCTCCTACGGTGGAGGGGAAGAAGCTGGGAGCAAAGAAGCAGAGAAAACTCAGCAACTCTGGTCTGAGGTGCAGCCTCCTATAGAAGCACGTCAGTGTGGCCACAGCGCCCGCACCCCGACGGGGCAGCACACAGTGGCTGAGGAGGACCCTGTGGATGCTGGCAGGTGGAGACAGCTGGGGATGGCAGGAGAAGGCAAGCGACGGCAAGGAGAAGGGACCACGATTGGTCTTTGCGACACACAGGGGTGGTAGGTGGGGCAGAGCCTTGAGTAACTGGGGCTCTGGATCTGGGGTGCCCCAGGACACTAGGGACCAATGGAGAAACTAAAGTCTGAGGCAACTAGAGGCTGGGACATCGGGGGCTGCTCCCCGGGAAAAGCCACAGCATGCAGGCTGTGGGGCAGCTGCTTCGGCCAGACCCCCTGCTCGTGGCTGCCCACCAGGCCCTTGCACTGGGCCCCATGTCCTGCGAATCTTTGAGGCCATTTCTTTCCTCATTGGAGGGTGGACAGACAGACACACTCAGTCTCAGGCTGGAGCACATTCTTTATTGCTCATCCCTTCCCCTTCACGACACAGGGACGACACAGGGCCCAGTGTGCAAGGGGCCCTCCCAGCGAAACTGGGCCCCAGTGGGCTTGCTGAGGCTGATGGTCACTGCCCAGCAGGACACAGGCGTCTTCTGCTCCCATACAGCACAGTGACTGGTGCCGACTCATGGCAGCCCATCCGTGAGCGCGCTGTTCAGACAGTTGTAGAGGTAGATATACTGCTCCTGGGGGTGGGCATCGGGGTAAGGAGCCTCACCCTGCCTGCCCAAAACTGGTGCCGAAAGGCTCCCTTGTGACCCCTAACCCTTCGGGTTCCATCCGGGAGCATCATGGTCCCCAGCACTGCCTGGTGACTTCCCAAATAGTGCTGCCTACGGGTGGCTCCTAGAACCTTCCCTACCCCTTTACCCCCGCCCCCCACAACTAAGCCCTGGTGGCCTCTCACCAGCGTTGGGGTCATGAGGCCACAGGCCTGTGACTGCTGCAAGGCCACGCTAAAGATGTCCACAGTGCGCTCAGCCCCCGCCTGCTGCAGCAGCTGGTCCATCGCCAGGAAGGTGCCCAGGTGAGCCACACCCTTGCTGCAATTGACCTTGAGTTAAATAGGGTATGGGAGCAGGGGCAGGTGGGCAGTATAGAGAAGGCTGGGGTTCCCAGGTATATGGGGAAACCCAGCCTGGGCCTGGGGACTGGGAAAGGGACACTGGGCACCCAGTGAACCAGTCAGCTTGGGCCCAAGCAGGGAGGGGGTATATTCCTAAAAGATGTCATATTCCTGAAAGATATCCAGAGTAAGAAGGAGATGGGAGCATTGGGAGACTGTGTAGACTGACCCAAGCAGGGCTCAGTGAGACAGATGTGAGGTCCTGCCAGAGAGGCAGTGAGGGAGTCCCAGCACCCATGCCCCCCAGGCTTTTGTGCAGCAGCACCTGGAGTGGCTGAGCAGTGTGCCTGGCTTCATCGTGTCCCGAAAGCAGCACCGGCCCACGGCAGTCAAGAAGGGCAACAGGGTGGTGGCAGGGAGCTCCTGCCCTGGCTCCCAGCACGGAAACAGTAGCCTCTGCACCTGCCTCTCCTTACTGCTCTCCCCCTGGGGACAAAGACATTGGCATTGGTGCCAGGGAGAAGCAGAGGCAAACCAGCACAAGACTCTCCTCCACAGAGCCCACCGCCCCACACCCTGTGGCCCCAGCACCTACATGTGTGACCCTCAGGAGGGTACAGGGCCAGCCTGCAGCGCTGCTCTCAGCCACCCAGTGCACTGTCACCATGTCCATGACAACGGGCTGCTTCTCCGTTGGCCAGAACTCCTGTGGATCGGACCAAGTCCAGACTGCTTAGGCCACTTCCCAAGCTCTCTGCCAACACCCTGGTCACAGGCCAGCCACACCACAACCTCCCCCACCCACCCCTGCCCCAGCTCCTGAGGCTTCCCACTCTCTGTCTCTCTGGCCCCCTCACCTTCTCCCCGGTGTCAGGCGGGGACAGGGAGACCAGCACATGGGCCCCGTGCTCCCACACCAGCTCCCAGAGCTCCTCGGGCCCTGCAGGGCCAGTCAGCACAACGTGGTCGTGGCCAGAGGGCCCACCCTGCAGAGCACAACTCGCTGATTCCCAGGCACTGAGGGTGCCCCCTGCTTACCACAGCTCTAGGGCCCCCCAGAAACCCCAGCTCCAGCTTAAGAGGCACAAATGATCAGAGAGGGCAAGTAATAGGGCATCATCTCACTGGGAAGAGCCAGGCTTCGAGCATCTCACTGGGGGGGCTTTCCTCCATCGGAGAAGACCGCACTTGAGAAGAGTCATCTGAGGGAAGATGGTGACGGTGAGGTCGCCTGAGGCCCTCTCCCCGCCCCGGGCCCCGCCCAGCCACCCGCAGTCCGCAGGCACTCACAGGAGACTGTGCTGTGCTGCTCATGGCCAGGAGGGGGCGCGAAAGAGTCAGCCTCGTCCTTGATGGCCTGGAGCAGGAGCTGGGTGGGGGACGGGGGAGATGTGCATTGGAGGCTCGGCAGCACAGAGCCCACAGAAGTGCTGCCTGGGCAAGGACAGCCCGGTCAGCTGCCACCCATCCCTGGTTTGAAGCGCACCTTGTACTCTTTCAAGAAGCCGGCGTTGGCATTGGCCGCCCTCTTGGCGCAGGCCTGTGCAAAGTTCGTCACCGAGACGGGCTGGGACCTCGGGGAGGGGCGGAGAGGGGAGAAGGCACTCGGGGTTCCCCAGCTCCCGCTTCTGCTCTTCTCAGCTCTGCCCATGGACAGGATCAGGGACCTGTTGGAGGGAGGGCACAGGGGATCTGTGCCCCCACCCCACAAGGGCCCCGGGGGAGCTGCAACTCACTCAGGGGTGTCCGAGGGCCCTTCCAGAATCCTGTTCAGGAGGCAGCTGTGCAGGAAGATGTATTGGCTCTGGCAGGAGGAGGAGGAGTCGGTCCTCTAAGAGAGTATGGCCCAGCAGAGAGATCTCCCAAGGGCCCAGCCAGCAAAACAGGGAAGTGGGGAGCGGGGGTCCATTTGGGAACTTGCCCACACTGTGGCACAGAGTCAAAGCTAGGAGAGGTCTGCCCCACCTCCCCTTTGACAGAAAGGGAAACAGAAGCCCAGATAGGATGGTGACATGTTAGAGAGTCCCGCCCCCTGGAGTTCCTGGTCTTGGCCCCTCCAGGTTGAGGTGCGGCCTCCCTCTGCCCACCCACAGCTCCCCACCCCCTCCCCATCCCTGCCAATCCACCTCCTGCCCACTCCTTCAGGACCCTGGCTGCCCAGCCCAGCCTGCTGAGCCCTCACCGGGGTCTGGATCATGAGGGGCCGGTACAGCCGCAGCGCATACACCGCGTTGAACACGTCTACCGCCTGTTCCTCCTCCAGCTGCTGCAGCAGCCTTGACAGGGCCACGAAGGTGCCCGTGCGCCCCACACCCGCACTGTGGGGACAGCCCTGGGGCTAAGCCGAGCGAGAGGTCCCACAAGCCCGCCTCCCCTTCCTCCCTCAGCCTCTGCCCCCACCTGCCCTCACCTGCAGTGCACCAGGACCGGGCTGGTGCCCTGGGTGGCCCGTGCCTGCTCCCGCACCAATTCCACAAAGGTGAGCAGGGAGTTGGGGGCCTCAGGGACACTGTGGTCAGGCCAGGTGGTGAACTGCAGCTGCTTCACCCTCCGCTGCTGTTGCTGGGCAATCTGAGGAGGGGGAGGAAGGGGAGTGGGGGTCTAACCCCAGGGTCCCTCTGTTCAGCCCTTCAGCCTTCTTCACCAGATCCCTGAGGGCAAGGTGACTGATACCTCCACCCTCAGCATGGTGACAGCTAAGCCTGCCCCTCAGATCACATGCTTCTGGCGACCTCTTCCTTCTCCAGCCTCTCGGGTAGTGTCTGCCTATAAGGGGTGCCCAGGCAGAGGGGTGATGCCGATCCCCGGCTTTCCTGCCCCAGGAGCTCACAGCCTGGCAAGCAGATGGGCATAAGGGGTGAGGGGTGAAGCAGGAAGCCCTGAGCTGAGGGCAGGGCAGGCCAGACACTGTCACTTCACGCAGTTCTACCTTTGACGCGCTGTGTAGCTCCAGATAACACTTTAACCTTCCCAGGGCCTCCCTACCCCTCCCTAACCAACTTCCCTGGACAGCGGCTGAGTGCTTTCCACTCTCAGAAGGAAGGAGGCCTGGGGACACAGGCAGGGAGGCAACCTTCTTCGAGTCTCAGCTTGAATGCCCACCCCACCCTGCCCTGTCCCCTGGGGCACACACGTGCTGCAGCTGGAATTCCCTCTGGGTCCACTCTTCCTCGGGCTCCTCAGCCAGCAGGTGGACTGTGATGTGACCATGGGTGACGGGGGTAAGGTCTGCTGGCCAGTAATGTTCACACAGCACCTAGGGCCAGAGGGTCAGGGCAAGGGTGGGGGGTGGCCCAGCGTCATTACTGCCACCCTTGGTTTATCCGGACCAACCCTCCCCACCCATCTTTCTGGTCTCTGCCACCCTGTTATAATTCTGCTCTCTGTTCAAACCCAGCTCCATGGCCACCTCCTCCGGAAGCCTCTCTGCTCTGGTGGGCCTCCAGCATTGTCACCCCCACACCTCTCATATGACCCTTAGGGCTTTGAAGGCATCTGTTGGGCTCCTTTGCAAAATTGGATGGCTTTACTGAGGGCCGCCTGGCCTTGCCTCGCTGCTCCAGCTGGAGGACAAACCCAGCAGGTGCTCTCTCTGTCCCAGGGCTTTGCATCGAACAGGGCACAGAAGAGTCATCCACCAGGCTTGTTGAAAGAAAGGATGCAGAATGCTCTATCTTTGATGCCCACCCTGGGGCAGTTCATACCCCATCCTTTCTCCTAACTCCTTTGCCCCTCTCTGCCTAGAACAAGAGCAGGTGGAGACAACGAGACACAGCAGAGATGAGGGGCGCTTGGGTGGCTCAGTCAGTTAAGCATCAGACTCTTGATTTTGGCTCAGGTCATGATCTCATAGTTCATGGGTTCAAGCCCTGCATCAGGCTTCATGTTCACAGTGCTGAGCCTGCTTGGGACTCTCTCACCCTCTGTCTCTGCCTCTCCCCAACTTGCGCTTTCTCTCTCTCAAAATAGATAAATACAAACTTAAAAAAAAAAGAGGGGCACCTGGGTGGCCCAGTCGGTTAAGCGTCCAACTCTTGATTTCGGCTCAGGTCATGATCTCACGATTCATGAGTTCAAGCCGCACCTCGGGCTCTGTGCTGACAGCACAGAGCCTGCTTGAGATTCTGTCTCCCTCTCTCTCTGCCCCTCCTCCCCTTGCTCTCTCTCTCTCAAAAATAAATTAATTAAATTTAAAAAAAAGAAAAGAAAACAAGAAACAGCAGAGGTCAGAGGAAATGGAGTCAACCGGGGAGCTTGAGTTCCTGGTCCCTCTTCCTGCCTCCCCATTCTTGGTGGCCCTGGGGACCCCTCCAGGCCTGATTGACCTCTCTCCTGCCTAACCCACCTTTCCAGACCTAAGATAGCAAGAGGGTAACTCCTATAAGGGGAACATGCACCACCTAGTGGCCATTCTTGGAAACTGCAAGGCATGCTCACCCTCCCGTTCTCCATGCCCACAGTCAGCATGACAATGATTTGGACCTGTTGCTCCCACACAAGCCTCCAGAAGTCCTCCAGAGTTTTCTTGAGAGGCCCCTGGGTGGCAATAAATTCCTGCGGGTGCGTGTAGCCCTGCGAGTGTGGAAGACAGGAACATGTTGACTGGTGACACCTTGGTCCCCTGGGTTCCACCAAGCACACAGCAGAAAATGGGCCTTGTGTGATCTACAGGAGTGAGAATAATGTGCCTACACATGTGCACGTGACCACATATGTGCACCAAGAATTCAAACCAGAAGGGTGGCTTCAGAGACACCACCACCACCCCAGCGCCACATTGAAGGGGCATGGACCATGCTTGTCCCTTTACTATGGCAGTTGTCACACTAAGTGGTAGATGTGACACACACACGCAGAGCATGTGTGCCTGTGCACACACACGCACAGTGTGCTCCTTTGAAGGTGAGAATACAGGTAGACAGCTCTGGCTCCAACAGGCCCAGCACAGTGCCTGGTACACAGTAGGCCCTCAATAAATACCTGCTGGATCGACCTAAAGGAACACAAGCTGGGGATCTTTGTGGACAGCTACTACAGCTAGGGTAGGACAGCGTGTCCCGCAAGGCAGCCCGTCTCCCAAGCAGACACACCCACCGACAGCTCTGAAGGCGGCCCTTACCGGGATGAAGTTGGCATTGATGTAGTCGGAGTGGGGCTCTCCCTCCAGCTGAGTCAGCCTGACCCGGGAGTGATCATCTGCAGAGGAGAAAGCTGTGTGTGCCGTTCCCCGGGCCCACGCAGCCCCCCTCGTCCAGGCCCGGCCCTGGCCATCTGCTCCCGGCACTCACAGGGTAGCACATGCGGGTAACGGTTCTTGGAGGCATTGGCAGGGTGCTCAGCCTCCAGCCTGGGCTGCTCCTTGCCTACCTCCTTCAGCTCCTGCAGAGATTGGACCGGGCGCTCTTTTCTGAAGTGGACCCACCTCACCCCACAGCAGGAGAGGGACAGGGGTGGGGTATACACAGCTGGAAGCGCCCCCTGGACTTCAGGGCAAGCCCAGCCCAACCTAGGTGCCCCAGGTCCTCTCTGCTCCGAGCCTGAGGGCAGCAGAGGCCTCACCTCAAACTCCTGAAAGAACGCCTGGTGAGCATGGGCGCTCTTGGCCTCAAAGCTCTGCTGGAAGCTTTGAATTGGGATCGGTCGGTGGGTCCGCCTGGCGGGAGAGGGAAGGAGTGGGCCCACTGCAGAGGCCTGCCCTGAGCTCAGTGGGTAGTTGGCACACCCCCTGGCATGAAGCCAGGACGCATTTTTCCACACATGCTGATGCACAGCCTGGGCCGCCGAACCCCAGTGCAGAAAGACAGACAAGGGGACAGAGGGAGGAGGGCCGAGAAGACAGGATATATACGTGAAGGCCCCTCACTGGTTCTGAGGAGGGCTTCTGCGCACAGTCAGTGCTCACTGATGTCAGTTCAACGTGCAGCTGACTAGAGGGGCTCAGGAGGGACCAGAGGAGAGAATTACAGATCTAACATCACAGGGGAAACAAAGAGATTCGGCCTGATACGGTCCGAGTGGTTTGTCAGGGGTAAGGTGAGGACTGGGGTAGGTGAATTTGGAGGAGGGTGAGGAGGCTGCACGGGCCGAGAGGAGCCAGAAGAGCTCTAGGGTTGAGAAAGGCCTCATGCAGGTGTGACAAAGCTGGGAGGTGACTGACAAGGAGTCCCAGGGGCGCAGGCTGCTGGGGGGACTGGGCGATGCCACCTTGACCTGTGCCCAGCACGCCATCTGGGGACACGGGAAAGTGCCTCACCGCAGGTTGTAAGCGGTCAGCTCTTGGGAAAACCGATTCTTCTCTGCCCTGCAAAGGATGAAGAGGTGTGTGGGGGGTGGGGGGAGCCCAATGGGGCAGGGGCATGGGAAGCTACTTGGGGAAGAAGCCATTCCCCCCTCTGCCACGCTGGCCCCCAGCCTTCGCTCTCACTCACTTCTGCCCCTTCACCCTCCTCCAGCACAGCAGGCCCAGCAGGGCACAGACAGTGAGGACACAGCCCATCATGATGCCCACTGCCGCTGGGAGGGGCATGGCTGCTGCAGAGACACTGGCCCGGGGCTCTATAAAGAACAAAGGAAAGGTGGGGTATAGTAGCCTTGTCCCACTGCTCTGCAGTGACCGGACTTGAGAGCCTCTGGGTGGAGTGACAACCCCCCTCAGAAGTCCCATATCCCACCCCAAATGGCTGCCAAGGTGGGGGGGGGGCATCCTGCATGGGGACTGAAAATACCCAGCAAGCTCTCCCTGCCCCTGGCTTCTGAGCTTGCCCCAAAGGCTCTACTCCCCTCCCTGACATCCTCAAAGAAGAGAAGAGGGTAGGGACATGGCTTCCTGGACCTTCTAGAACTACACTGTCCAATATGGTAGCTACTAGCCCCATGGGGCTATGGGATGCTTAAAATATGGCTACTGCGAATTAATATTTGCTGTAAGCATAAAATACAAATAGCATTTCAAAGACTTAGTAATAAAAAAAGAATATAAAGTATCTCATTAAGATTCTTTCACTGGTCACACGTTGGTATGATAATATTGATATCTTCGTTTAAATAAAATGTTATTAAAATTAATTTCACCTGTTTATTTTGACCCATTTCACATAATTAGGGAATATTAAGCTACATATATGGTTCCCACTTGCGACTTGCCTTACGTTTCTGCTCTAGAACCTCAGTGGCCTGGGAGCGGCAACACATAGGGGGGCCATGCAGGAAGGTAGTCGGATCGTGGGCAGTGACAAAAACCATTTCATTAATGCCTCGGCCTCTCCTACTTGCCCCCGCAGCCCACCCAGGCCAGGCCTGGTGCCCAGCGGCACCTTCATCACTGGCTCTGGGTCACCCAGCTCTGCTGGGCAGGACAAACCCTCCCTGGGATCCAAGCTCAATCCCACCTGGTGCTGATTGGGGAGAAGCCTCAGAACCGGGGTGGAGGGGGGGGTGTCCCAGCACTCTTCCCCTGCCCCAGGGCCCAGCTGGAACCCTAGTCAGGTGGCCACCCTACCTGAGAAGGCAGAGAAGGAGATAATGGTCTCCAGAGGGCTGTATCTGGTAAAGGCCACAACACTGAACCTGGGGCAGAGAGACAGGACCTTCTGTTCTGAAGGGACAAACAAAGAGGGCGAAGCCCCTCCCAAGAAACTGAGTCATTAGCAATAGACACTCAAATAGCGGGGGCGCCCTCACACCCACCTGTTCAGAGGTTATGTGTCACACTACCTGAACAAGCTACTCCTGACTTCTCTTCCATCTTCCCTTCCCTATTCTGACAGCAAGAAGCCCTGGAACAGGTACCTAAGCATCCCTGAAAAGCTGAAACAGAATCCATCCCCCCTTTTCTTTCTGAAAAAAGAACCATGTAACAGATGGGTGTTCTCCTTTTTGCCTTGCCTACCAGGAAGCCCGGTCAAAATAACTCTGTGGACCCTTATGGGCCAACCAATGCTTTCTCTTTGTAAGTCAGTCCAGATCTTTTGTGGAGGGAATGTGCAAATAGCCCATCAGTGACACTTAAAATGCACCCCCACACACCCCTCCCTTCAGTCTCAGCCCTCACCGATACTGAGAATCTGGCTTGAGTGGCCCATTACATATCTCCTGGGACTGGCCACAGTCCTCTGTACCCATAGGCACCATCCAGGATCTCGGCAGAGCCCAGGGCCCTGGGTAGAAGGGGTTGGGAAGCAGGATGGCCAGGTACGAGTCATGTCCTCCATAGTAGTGGTCATACCACGTGCGGTTGATGGCTTCCTGGGGCGGCCGCACCACTGCAGAAGAATAGGAAAGGGGAAGAGCCGGGTCAGCGTGGGACCGAAGCCTCTCTCCCTGCCCACAAAGCAGCTACCCTATTTCTGTAGCATGTTCCCACCATGCATAGCACAACATCAGCCCTACCTTCAAGAATGTTCTGGGTCTCTCTTCCTACTCCGGCATTCATGCCAGCTGCAGGCATTTCATCTTAGCAGTCTAGTATCTGGACCACCGCCCCCCATCCCACACTGGGCAAGAGCCAGGGTCTCTTGTGCCCTCCTGGCCCAGAACTCACGTGACATGTTGGTGGAGGCAATGATGCCATACCACTGGATCTGCCCGTCGTCCTGGCCAAACATACCCCGTGTGATCATCACACCCATCCCCGCCTCGGGCTCCAGCTGGGGGGCTGTCACTAAGTCTGGGGCGTGCCAGCCTGGGGATGGAGAGGAGAAGCGTGAGGTCCTGACTGGGTGCCAATCACCAAGGGCAGGGGCCGTGCTGTCACATCCCCAGCACCCCTTACAATGCCTGGCAACCAGTGCCCGATGGGCACAACTAAATAAGAACTGGGAGACCCCGGTGTCTGGATCAGGGCCAGGGGAAGGCTGGAGGGAGGAACAGGGAGAGCCCCGGGCAGGGAGGGCCACGGCAGTGAGGACCCCAGCGGGTGATGTTGGAGGAAGGCTAAGGGAGCCGAGAGGGGCTCCAGAGACCATGGAAAGTGCTCACCCTCTGCAGAAGTGGCACACAGCAGCGTGACCACACGGCTCCACAGACCATTCCTGCCCAGCACGGTGAGACTGATGCGATAGGAAGTGGCAGGCAGCAGGCCGGGCAACAGGAGGGCGTCCCCAGACGTGTTGGCCTGGAAGATGACATGAGCGTGCCCTCCAGCAGCCAGATGCTCTGCCACCACCAGACAGGTGTCCACGTCCCCCGAGGGCACCATCCAGTGCAGGGCCAGGCGAGTGGCCTCGGGCCGGCACTGCACATCTTTCACGGGGCCAGGCTCTGCAGAATCAAAGGTTCTGCGCTGTGTGGGGGTCAGTGCACCCCAAGCGGCTGGCATCCGGGGCAGCAGCCATCAGAATCAGCAGGTACAGAGGGACTGGGCATTTATGTTCACAGGAAGAGGTCCCGGCTACGCAGAGAAACAGCTCCTCTTTTGGGCATCGTTGCCCAACTAAACAAGCACAGGAAGCATATCCCCACGGAAGGCAGGGTTGAGCCCCCTCCGGAGAGGAGCAGGTGGCTTGGAGGAGAATGGGCAGGGCCCCAGCCCGGACTGAAGCCTGCCGCTCCTCCTCCCCCAACACGTGCCAACGTACCAACAGGCAGCACCACGGGGTGAGTGGATGCCTGGAGTGGCCCCGCCTGGCACAGCACCGACAGGGAGAGAGAGCGTCCAGGTGTGAGGTCCCTTAGAACGAGACGGGCTTGGCCGAGCGCCAGGGGTTGCTCCCAGGAGAGGTGTCTTGCCTCTGAGAGTTGGGCATGGCACACCCCCTGCCCCAAGGGGCCACTGGCCCAGGCCAGGTTGATTACAGCACTGCCCGCCTGCATCGACACCAACAGCTCATTGGGCATGAGCGGGACTGTGGAGGGAAGGAGAGGCGTGATGCAAGGCTGCTGGCCTTGGCCCTGAGGGCCCAGTGCATGAGGCCACAGGTTCACTGGCTCCAGGCAGGGCCCTCAGATGTGAAATTTGGGAAAAGGGACCAACATGGGGGGTAAGAAGAGAATCCAGGGCTCTCAGGGGCGGCCCTCCCCACGTCTCCTGCCCTCGTTGCATTTCCCTCCACTCACAGGTCCAGCCAGAGGCGTTGGCGGCTGCGGTGCGGAGAGGCCCAGCCTGCGACACGATCTCCACCTCGTACTGAGTGCCTGGGGTCAGGGCTGAGAAGCTTGTGCTGTCCACCTCAGCTCCCACGGTGCTGGCTGCTGCCTGGGCACCCGCCTGGTACAGAGTCACCTGGTAGCCGTCTCGCGCCCCGGGAGCATGCACCCAGGATGCTCGGAGCTGGGTGGGACCTTCAGGGGTCACATTTACCAGAGGAGGGGCGAGGGGGGCTGTGGGGAGAGCAAGATATGGGAAGGTGGAGAAGAAGAGAGGTGCTGTGGGCCAAACTACGTCCCCCCAAAATTCATGTTGAGGTCCTAGCCCCCAGAATATGACTGGGGGGGGGGGATAAAATCTTCAAAGAAGTAATTAAGTACCGAATCCCCTATGACCCTAGGGAACCCTAATCCCCTATGACCTGGGTACTCATAAGAAGAGGAAATTTGGACACAGTCATGCATGGAAGGAAGACCATGCGAGACACAGGGAGCAGGGGGCCGTCTGCAAACCAAGGACAGGGGCTTGGGACAGATCCTGGGCTGGAGGCTCTCCGAAGAAACCAATCTCGCCAACTCACTGATCTCAGACCTCCAGCCTCTGGAACCGTGAGAGAGTAAATTTTTGCTGTTTAAGCCCCCAGCCCAAGGTGCTTTGTTTGCTACGGCTGCTGGACACACTAATACAGAAGAAAAGAATGCAAACCACATCTCTGGGTCCTTCTTCCCTCCTGTGTCCCTCCATCCTTCCCAGTCGGGAAATACCAGCTCAGGCTGACAGCAGGGGTGGCTCATTAACATCTGCATTAACACATTAACCCCTCCCCCTCCCAAAGCAGCCAGCCCTCCCGGAGGCAGGGCTGGGTGGGACAGCCCCAGCCCCTGTACCCAAACAGCTTTGCAAGACCCCCTAAGTGACTGGGCAGGTTCTCAAGGACAGACAAAGTTTGGGGGCCCAAGCAGAGCCCCTTCACTCTTAGCCAGAGCACAGCCCCTGGAGTCACATAAGCCTGGCCCAGTCACCTAGCCAGCACCTCCTTTGCAAATGGGGAAACTGAGGCTCAAAGAGGTACGATGTTTGCTCTAAGGACTGAGTCATAGCTAAATCCCAAGTCTCCTGCTTCCTAGCAGGAGGTCTCTCCAGCTTCCTCTGAGACCTCCCTGAGGTCACATGGCCCCCCCGGGTCACCACATTGGAGAAGGATGATGCTGAGGGCGGGGAAAGGGCGACAGCAGCTATACTTTGGCTCTTGCAAGAACACAGCAGCACACAGAAAAGGCAGAAGGAACGAGACCGGTGTGAGAGGGAGCCTCCAAACCCAGGTCTATGGCTGTGGAGGGCTCCATGGGAGGAGAGAGCTGTGCGTTGTGCTGCGTGGTGTCTAAGTGCGTGGCCCTCCCCTGCCCCTCTCTGGAGGCTAGTATGCGGCTAGGAGCACAGACTGCCTCACAGTGTCGGAAATGGAATCCCAACTCCTCACTTAGGGCTGATGGGAACCCAGGGCAAGTTACTTTGCTTATCTGTGCCTCGGTTTCCTCATCTGTGAAATGGGCAGAGCCATAGTAGCCACCTCCTAGGCTGCTTGCCATGAGGAGGAAATGAGAGAACATGGGGAGAACACTTAGCTAAGGGCCGGGTAAACACCACCATCGCCATCAAACACTCCCAGCCCGGGGGTGGGGGGGTTCGAGGCCGTGTCCTGGTCCCATCCCCACTGCTCCCCACCCCCGCACTGGCCATATGAGAGCCTGGAGAGTGGCTTGGTGCAGCCACTGTAGGGGCGCAAGCCTCTGGGGTCTGCCCACTTTCCAGATCCCTGGGGATTCCCACTTAGGGATGTGGGATCTCCTGGTGCCTAGAGATCAGGGAACAACTACAGTCAACCTAGCTCCCTGCCCACAGATGACAAAGAGGTCAAGGGGAGGACACAGGGCCCCCGGGGAATGCAACCAGCAAGGGTGGCCAGGAAGGGAGGGGTGTGCAGGGGACACTCACGCGTCCAGCCGGTGGCATTGGCGCTGCTGCTCTCATCGGGGCCCCGCGAGGTGGCCAGCTGAACCAGGAACTCGGTGCCTGGGGGCAGCTGGGTCCAGGAGAAGTTCCGGACCTCAGGAGCCAGAGCCTCCTTGTTTTCCAGAGTCAGGGGCCTCAGGCGGTAAAGCCACAGTTGGAAGCCATCCCTGCCCCCCAGCGGGGCACTCCAGGAGGCAGTCAGGGCAGGAGGCTGGGTGGCAAGGCCCAGGCTCAAGTTGGCAGGAGGAGCAGGGACTGCAAGTTCAAGGAAGAAACAGATTTGGAATGACCCAAACCCCCTGCCATTGTCTTCCCTGCCTCCCTGGCCCCATTACCTGTGCCCTTCTCCTGCCAGCCTATAGGCCAGCCTACAAATCCAGCTTCCTCCCCACACTGGCAGCTCCTTGAGAGTGTGCTGCCTGACTCCCAGGGTCCTCACAAGACCCAGCACCCACCTAAATGTTTAGACCTTTGGGCCCTGGTCTCTAGCTCATCTGCTGACATTCAGTGCCCTCAAGCTCATTCTCTCTCTCTCTCCCTCTTTCTCTCCCTCTCTCCCTCTCCTCCTCCTTCTTCCTCTCTCTCCTGAGGGCCTTGGTCCATGCTTAGCCTCTCCATAAAGCCCCTTTCTGTCCTACTCAGACTACAGGCTTCTCAGCTCACTCTCCTTCTCCTTCTCCTTCAGGAAACTTTCCCTGATTCCCTAAGCAGGCTTCCCTTCTGTTCTTTAAGTCCTACAAGATCAGACTGAACCACATAAAACTCCATTAGTCATCAGTTTTCACCTATAAGAAAACAGTGGCATGTGCATATTCCCATCACACATTTCTGTTTTTATATGATATATAAAATAATACACATTACATATGCATGTGCACGTATGTATATTTATACGTACACATATGTTTATATATTCTCTGTTTATTTGTCCATATTCTTAGACTGTCTTGTTCATAATTTTTAGCCTCAGCACCTACCCCATACCTAAAAATGGGAAACATTCACTAAATGTTTGTTGAATAGATGGATAGATGGGTGGATGGCGAACAAGATGGTAGGAGGTGGAAAATGCTTGCAAAATGATTCCTGAAAGGCCCACCCTGGATGGACACGGGACCCTCTACCTCAAGAGGATGCGCACAGAAGAGGAGGCGGTAAGGGCAGCTGGGCCCCTCCCCCACTGTCCTGGGCCGGCCTCCCCAAGGCTGCAGCCTGGGAACTCACGGGTGCAGGCACGAGTCTTCTGGACGGGGGAGCTGAGGTTCCCTGCCCAGGTCCACACTGACACAGTGTAGCAGGAGCCGGGCACCAGACCCCTCAGAGTCAGGCTGGAATCGTCGGGTCCCAAGTCGATAAGACTGCCTGGTGACCTCTGGCTGCCCTCCAAATGCCAGGTGACCCTGTAGCCTTCCTGCCCCCCTGGAGCTGGGGCCCAACCAATGGTCAGGTCAGAGGGGCTGCCCCTGCCAGTGACGTCCAGTGACTGTGGTGCCAGCAGCTCTGAAGAGAAGGACAGTTTGGTAAGGGGGCCATATTGTGTCTGTGGCCCCGTGAAGCCCCTTCCCAGCTCTCCTGAGCCTCCCCTCTACCCAGATTTCCCTCCCCAGAGCAAGGCCTCCCCCCACCCCAGGGCCAGGGGACACAGTGGCTGGCACTCACTTGTATGGCCTGTGGGGCTCTGGGTAGTGTTTCTCAGAGAGGAGCCAATGTCCACCCCAGGCCCCAGCTCATGCAAAGCGACCTGCATGGTAGCAGATGGCACGGAGCTGTTTCCAAGGAGGCCGGGGGTTCCCTCAGTGTAGGGCAGTGCCTGCCTCCTGGGTTCCCTGGTGGCCGTCAGCCCATCCAGCTGCAGCGCGGTATCATTGCTTTGTCTGGGCTGGGCAGCAGAATCTGCAGAGGGTGCAGATTCAGGAGACTGAGAACCCAGCAGGTGCCCCCGGAGAGGACCTCACCCTATTCCCCACCAGCCCAGACTCACCGTTGAGCCAGGCACTGGCCCGGGCCCAGGCATCATAGGGCCCAGCCAGGACCCCCAGCTCCAGTGTGTAGGGTCCAGTGGGCAGGGGCCCTGAGAATGTGGCATTGAGGGCTCCAGGGCCCAGTGTGGCGGTCTTTTCCACCTGCCCACTTAGCCTGAGCAGGTAGCCATCCCGGGCACCAGGCCCCACCTTCCAGCTTGCCCAGAGTTCCAAGGGCAGGGGAATGAGCACCAGGTCCAGGGGCACAGAAGGATCTATGGGTAAAAGAAGCAAATATGTGCAGAAAGACCTAAATGGTTGATAAGAAAGATCCTACCCTCCCTGTGCCAGCTTCTTTGTCTAGCTTCTTTCTCCTTTCTCTCCAGAGGCCAGCAGCTACCATCTGCCACGTTCTGGGTGAATTCTGGGATCGGGCCACAGACAACAGTAACAGAAATAATAACGCATCAAGACCAAGGATGTATATGCCAGCAGGGCACCAAGCACCCTACATGTAGTATCTCACATCTACTCCCCACAACGCTGCAAAGCGGGCACTATTATCACCACCCCGTTTTAAGGAAACAAAGTAATTCATCCAAAGACCCACAGCCAGTGAGTGGCGGAAATGAAATTCAGAATCCAGGCAGCCTGGGTCCTCCACCCTTCACCACCGCACGACCGTGCTTCTCTGAGCATCAACGTGGGCTCTGCAGACACTTAGCCCAGGCTGAGATGGGCTTGGTCATTCACAAGCTGCTTGACCTTGGTTCCCTCCTGTCTGCAAACCTTGGCTCCCTCTACCCTCCGCTGGGGATGATATGCCTGCGTGGGGCTGGTTTGAGGACTAAATGAGATGATCTGCAGGAACGCACAGCACAGCGGCTGGCACATGAAGGCTTCGAGTGGTGACTATGACACCGCCACCACCTCTCTAGGCGGGCACCTGCCGGCAGCCAACAGGAGGGGCACTCCCTCCACGCCTCATCCCTTCCCCGCAGGGTTCCAAATGAATCTCCCCTCCACCAGTTGTATCTCACCCACTCAGCCAGAGAAGAGCTGAGGAGCCTCTGCTATAACCCCGAGCCCCCTCCCCAAGCACTCACAGGTCCACTCGGTGACGTTGGGCCCTGCTGCCTGTTGGGGCCCAGCAACAGCACTGAGCGTCAGCTCATAGGGGGTGCCCGGAGAGAGGTGAAGGAATGTGTGATTGGAGACCCCCCGTCTGACTACTGCAGTCAGGCTGGTGCCCTCCAAGAGGTTTGTGAGCATGAGGTGGAACCAGGCTGCCCCTTCAGAACCGTTCCAGGCAGCTTGCAGGGCACTGGTACCCAGGCTATGCAGCGCCAGCTGGTGGGGAGACACGGGGGCTGGAAGAAGGATGGAGAGAGCAAGGTCAGGCTTGAGAATGAGCCCCGGCGTAGGATCCCGGCACCAGCCCCGGCAGAAGGGAAAAACAGAAGCCCAGCTATATAGGGGCAGGGCTGCCCAGGAGGCTCTGGGTTGCCAGATGGGCCTTGCCAGGTGCCTGTCTTACCTGTCCACTGGTGGGCGCTGGTCTTCGCCTGGAGGTTGCCAGCCCAGGAGGTAACCTCCAGAACATACTCACTACCTGGTAGGAGGTTGCTAAAATTGCAGGACAGGCTGCCTGGCGGCAGGGAGATGTTATGTGCCAATGTCTGGGATTCTAGGTGGTAGAGGAGAAGCTGGTAGCCATCCTGCGCCCCGGGGGCAGCATCCCATGAGGCCTCGAGGCTGGATGGGCTCCCAGAGCTATGGAGCTGCAGGTTGCAGACAGTTGATGGGGCTGCATCAGAAGTAGAGAGAAGCACCAAGTTCAGGCCCAAAGGGGCATCATCCCTGTGCTTCAAAGGCTTCTAAATGGGTCACTGTGCCAGGTCCTCAGAGAAGTTGCCCTCCTTGGCTACGCTGACCTGTGCCAACCCTCCAGGACAGTTACCTCCTGCTTGGACCCTTTGCAATGTCTGCACTCTACGCCCCCCACCTCCGCCACACACCAGTGTGGGCAGTGAGGGTGATGGTGGCACTCTACCCACAGGGCCCCAGGGCAGTCACTTCCAGCAGGTAGCGTCTTCCTGGCACCAGGTCCCGGAACTCAAAGCTGGATGCGTTGATGTGGGCCTGGACCTGCAGCCCTTCTGGAGAGCCCAGGGGACTCAGGTGGGTGAGGCAGAGGGCATGGCTGAACTTGTCTGGCCCTAGAGCTCCCCAGCTCAGGAAGAGGCTAGTAGGCCTCCCCTGGCTGCTGACATTCTCTTTCAGAGGTGGTCCTGGGAAAAAGGGGTACATTCAGAGTCTCCCGGTACCCTTTCTCCCCTAAAGAAGGAGGGAAGGCCAAAAAAAGGGGGGAGCCAGAGCGAAGACAAGGCCTGACATGGGGAAATCAAGCCTACACCCCCACTCCCTACCTGGCAGACCTCCTTCCCCCACCGAAGACACCTACCTCCACGCTCTCTGTCTGGGCTCCTTGCCAGGGTGTGACACTCATCATCCTATGGGAAGGCGGGGGAGGAGGGTTGAGGCAATGGGCAGAGGGCTCTGGGGTCTGTGAAAGCCAGCAGGGGACAGGGCCAAGATCGGAGAGAAGGCTGTCCTCTTGTCCGGCACTCCCCCAGACAGGAACAAAAGGGCATCACCCACAGGCACACCCAAAGTTCGGGAAGGAGCCCCGTGCAGGCCGAAGCAGTTTGTTCTTGCTGTCTGTCCTCTGAGCCAGCGGCTGGGAAGGAGCAGCCTCTGCTCTGCTTAATGCAGACCAGCTGTGGGGCCCCACAGAGAGGTGGGAGCCTGGACGGGCCCCGGAGAACAGCTCCCCAGCCGCCCGCCTGCCCCCAGGACCCACCTTACCTGGGCCAAGAAGCCCTGGATCCAGAGGAAGACAGCGAACAGTACTGAAGGCCTCATTCCGATGTCTGTAAAGGAAAGTTAGGAGGTAGCAGGGGAGGAGCTAGTACCCCCAACCCTCCCCTTGCCCCGCTGGCTGGCGGGCTGGCTGGCGGGCGGGCAGATGGACGGGCAGGCGGGCAAGGGTGGGAAGGCCAAGTTTCAGGGAGATGGCAGGCAGCAGGCAGCCAAAGAGCAAGGGGGTGCCTCTCACCCTGGACCCTAACCCCTCCGCACACCCCTAGCCTTGGCAAGATTCCGTGAGGGAAGAGAGACTCCAGCGCCCAGAAGGTAGAAGGGCACTGCACCTCTTGGGCTGCAGACAAGCCCACCTCTCCCTCTGCCTCCCCCGCCTCCACCCCTCCTTCAGCAGTTGACTTTCCAGGGAGGTCTCAGGAAAGACCAAGGCAAGGGCCAGCCTCTCAAGTGGGCACACAGAGCAAAGTGGGCACACAGGACACTCCCTGACCCCAGAGAGGAGTGTGGTTCTGTTGGCTCTATCAACACGTGGCAGATGGGTAGAGTGTCTGTGTTCGGTCGGGGAAGGGAAAGGAGGGTCCACATCGTGTGGATGTGTTTTGCTGCAGAATGGATGGACCAGCTGTGGGTGAGTGTCCCCCTCTGTGCATCCATGTGGCACCACTCCCGTGTGGACAGAGGCACAGGAGCACAGCCTAAAGGCCCTGAGTCACAGCGATTATAGATCCAGAAGAGCCCCCCTGCCCTCAGGCCCCATCTGTTCCCACACCCTCACTGCCCAGCTGATCTCCAGAGAGAGGAAGAGCCCAGACCAAGAAGCCAAATCCTGCTCCTAACCCCCCAAATTAGGGTCCTGTCAGCTCGGAGCTCCCTGAGGAGCTACTTAAGTCTCTAGAATGTTTGTCTGACTTCCTCCCACGTAGATCGGTGGTGCCCACCCCATCCCTGCCCAGCCCCCAGCCCCCAGCAGGCTGCAGGCAAGGGGAGTTTTGCTAGGCTTGGCCTAGAAGCAGGTCTGCTTCATTCCAGCCTAAGGCCAGGTACTTACCTGGAACTGCTCACCCATGTGTCCCCACCCCAAGGCAGCTGACAGTGGCGAGGGGAGGGGGAGGCAGAACAGAAGGGGAAGAAATGGCTCTGGGCCCTGGGAAAGGAGCCCAGGACTCAGACGCTAACTCAGGAAGTGGAGAGGGGGACTATGCAGAAAACAGGCAGGTATAAAAACTGAACAGCAAGACTGCTTCTTGGGAGCCAGGCTCTCAGGGGCCAGCCCCAGGCAGGAGGACAGGCCCGTAGAGAAACCCACTCAGCCTCCCACTGGCTCAGTTCAGAGCCAGGGGCTGCCTGTCCTTCCCCCACTCCACCCGGCCCCAAACCTCAGAGCCACCCACCCCGGTCTCTGGATAGGGGCCTGGAAACTGAGCACTGCAGACTCATCAGATTTTCCAGGCTGTGTGTGTGCGTGCATGCGTGTGTGTGTGTGTGTGTGTGTGTGTGTGTGTGTGTGTGTACATTCATGCCTGTGCTCTTTCAAAGGGGGGCAGGGGGGCAGAGAGCAACTGGGGAAACTGATATTAAAGGAGAAGTTCCCAAGAGGTGGGGGAAACATCCTGCCCTTGCCCCTTCCCCCTCCCGCCTCACCTGGGGCACCTCACTTTGCTCTTTCTAGCAGAGTCTCAACCAGCAGCAGCAAAGGGGAAAAGTAAGGTTGGAAACATCTTAATTCCGCATCTAAGAGAAGCAATGTGGCGAGGCGTGGTTGTAGGTAATGGGGGCAGGGGATTTTGGACCCTGCTTGAGAGTCGTCACAAAAGGGACCTGTTGGGGACAGCACAGACTCCACAGCTAGTCCTGTGGACAGTCCTGGAGGAGGCCCCTGGCTGTAGAAGGCACACCTGGCAGCCCCGGCCCCCGCCAGCCTTGTGGACAGAAGAGGGGGCTCCAGGGGATAGAAAGGTTCTGACAGACAAGATGCAACCTCCCCAGACTAAGCCTCTCCATTCAGCAAAAACAGTACCACAAAGGCCGTGTCTCCTGCCCAGCAACCACTCCCACAGACAAACCCACATCCTCTCCCTAGAGAACTCATGGGGTCCTCCTGAGATCTCGGAGCACCTTACCGGTTCCTTCTGGAGAGAGCCAGCCAGGAGGCAGAGGAGGGCAAGGACAGGTCCAGGCATCCCGATTCCCAAACGCGAGCCAGCCTGGTCTCTTCCTGCAGCTGTCCCACACAGCTCCTTTCCGGCCCTCCCCCTCCTCTCCCAGGGCCTGAAGCCAGGCCTTGGGCACCCCCCACACCGGGGGGGGGGGGGGGGGAGATAATCACCAGGCAGGAGAGGGGCAGGGTGGATCCGGACAGCCAAGTCTCCCACTCTTCCTCCCACACCTCGGGGAAGGTCACCAGGGAGGGGGTAGGCCTAGATCCCTCTGACCAGGCTGTGGGAAGGCAGCAAGGGACCGGAGGCGGCAGCCTGCTGAGACGTGTGCGTGTGCATGCCGGCAGCCTGGGCACGCGTGTGGATGGACATGCTGTGTGCGTGCACGTGTGCGTGAGCCGTGAGGATGTCCATATTAATCAGAGTGGATGGGCACGCATGGGCATCCGTGTGTCCATGGGGGCATCCAGGGACATCGTGGAGAGGGAGGGGGACAGGAGGGCCCCAGGAAGGAAGGACCATGTTGTAAAATAGATGTCCGTTTCCCCTGCTCTAGGCTTGGGAGAGAGGGAGGGACTCTCTTCTGTCCTAAGGTCAGGGACCTGAGTTCCAGCAACCTGGTAAAGAATGCGGCTCTTTCCTGGATCTCCGGGCAGGTTGGCCCCGGCTCCCCAGATGCCGAGGTGGCCTGAACCACTGGTCCTTCAGCCAGCTGGTATGGGGTATGGGAAAGTCCCTTGCACTAGCAGGTACCCAAAAGGTGTCAGGGAAACTGGGTCGGGCGGGGGATGGGCTTCCGGGATGGCCAGGACAGAAGCAGGGCCCCAGGGCATGCCAGGTGGGTCTCCTTCTTCCTTCAGATTTCACATCAGCTGGCCCAGACACTGCCACACTTCCTAATGGCAATTCTCTGCCCCACCCACCAAGGGCCTCCTCCAGTGTGTCCCTGCCTTCTCCTGGATCAGCCCTCGCAGTTCCTAGCCCTCTGTATCTCTGCCTCCCCCACTCAGCCAGGCAGGGGGCAAGCAGGGGCCTGTAACACTGCGGTGGAAGCTGGCCTAGGCTGGCCCAGGATTTGGGGGGTGAGGGGTGGGGGTGGAGGAGGACATACGATCCTAGGGCTTCTCCAGAGAGGAATGAAGAGGTCTAAGGACGGGAGCAAGACCTGTGGAGAGTGCAGAACCCAGGAGTCCTGGCCCCCAGCAGCAGGCCCCATACCCAGGAGCCTCCCCTTTGGAATCTTACAGGGTGATGGCCTTTGACTCTGGGGCTCAAAGCAGCCTGGCCTGCTCCCTCAGTGCCTCCAAGGAACAAGAACTTCTGGGAATTCCAGATACAGCTGCCCCTGCAAGGGGCTTCTCATACCGGAGGCCGGAGGGGGGGCACTTGTGGCTGGCAGTGCCGGGACTAGGGAATGACAAGAGGAAGGGGGCAGTGTGCCCAGGCAGCTCTGTGCCTGTAGGCTAGCTGGACAAAGTGAGGGGCCTGTGGGAGAGGAGACAGGGACTCTCCCACAAGACACCACTCCCCTGGCCCCCTCCCCTGGCCACCTCTCCAGTGGACAGCATCTGAGCAGTTCAGAGGCTCAGCACCACTGGACGGATCAGAGAGGTGCTAGGCTCATCCCTCCAGGTAGGGAGGAACCTGATGTGGAGACTGAGCCTCTGGGAGGTTCAGTAACACACCCAAGGTCACACAGCTAATGGGCCACAGTTTAGATTCATTGCTCACGGTCTTACTGACTTTCAACTATTGCTATCCTTTTTTGGAGTCAAGGGTGGCTGGAAGCTAAATCCCAACTCCAGAAGGCAAATCAGTGGCTGGAGTGATGAAGGGTTTGTGAGCTGTCTGGGGCAGCTCCACCTTAGGGACAGGGAAGGTTCTGGGGGTCCAGTCACTCCCAGGGAACTCCAGGCCTTCCCCCATTCCAGCAGCCTGGCTGGTCTGGGGAGAAGGCGCTCTAGGGCATCTTGGCGCATCTAAGGCTTGTGGGTGGTGCCCTCAGCCCTCCAGAGCTCTAGCCCCACACCTCTTCAGATATCCAGGCATTTCTAAGCAGAGGGGAAGAGGGGGAGGCAGGAGGCAAGGAGTGACTATTCCCTCAACCCCAAACACACCCAAAGGGAACTGAGAGATCCGCCGGGTCTTGCCTAACGTTATTACCCCCACCCCCAACACCAACTACCTCTCCCACCTCCTGGCCCCCAGTCTCCTAGCTCTCCACCCAAGAGCTCGGCTCCCAGCTCCTCAAACTGCCGCTGCCTAGGGAGGGTAAGAGGGCGTACCCGAGGCCAACAGGGCTGAGACCCCGGAGACCTGGTGGAAACCTGGAGGCACTGGCGGACCAGTGGGGGAAGGCTCTGCCTGCTTCCTCCTCCCCACCCCTGTGGTATCCTAGCTTCCTGTTCTTGATAACAATCAACAGCTTGGCCCGGTGGGGGTGGCTTTCTTTCTAATCCCCTCCTGCCCTCTTCTTTGATCCTCAGGGCCCCATTGCCCATTAGTGGAGATCCTGGTTGGCCTGGGGGAACAGTTGAAGCAGAGGCCAGCCTCGGGTCACTTTCCACAGGTTGAGCAGGGATTCCCAGGCTCTCCTGCACCCCCCCCCCCCCCCCCCCCCCCCCCCCCCCCCACACCCAACCACCACCACACCCTGTTCTGGGGACCAGAGTCAACGACTACTCCAGCTCTGATCAGCCTGCTATCAGGCAAACCACCCAATCCCCAGAGTAAAGGAGGGTCCAGGACCAGCTGGGCCCTGAGGGGCTCAGAAGGGAGCCTGTTCCTGGTGGCCGCTCCCAGGAGCGAGGACGGGCGCTGGGAGGCCTCCAGAGCTCCAGAGGGTCATCCCAACCCTCCTCCCCCACGGGCCAGCCGCAGGCCGGCACCCTCCCCACCGCCCCTCCAGTGTGCCCACCCCCTGTGTCTATTGTAAACCATTTCTTTTCTGCTGTCACCATTTGACAGCTGAATCAGTAGTGGGAGGAAGAGAGAAGACAAGGATTGCGCGTGTTGGGGCCAGGAAAGGAAGGGTGTTTGGAATGTTACAAGGGAGAAGAAGCTGCAGCGAGCATGAACCAGCCGGGCTGCTGGCCAGCAAGGGGCCTGCCGAGGCGAGGCAGGGGCAGGGGTGGGGGACCTTGGAGTCGTGGACGTGGGGGTCACTTCCTAGGCCCCAGGCATCCAGGTGCCCCGGAGGCGAAGAGACGTGAGAGTCCCCCGGTGTGAGGGCCAGAGATTGTCCACTACCTGTAAGTCTTCTGAATAGATGTTAGGATTCAGGAACGAGGCCTGGAGGGGCTGCGCGCCAGGGAAAGCCCCCCAGACTCTTCTACGAGCTGCTTCTGCCAGCTACTTCCCAGCTGGTCCATCTCAAACCGAGGCAGCTGAGAGCTGGGCTGTGGCTCAGGCCCTCAAGCTGACCCTTCTGGTCTGGCCTGGGCTTTCGTGAAGCGGGGATACCTGCTTCCTCTCCCCGCTACCGCACTCCAAGTCCGCACCCACGTCTTCTTTGAGAAGGAATAACCTGTGCTGGACCATGAACTCCCAAGGCTCAAAGGGGCAAGGGCTTCCGGGACTAAGGCTTCGAGGTAAAAGCAGAGGAGTAGAAATCAGGGTGTGGACAAGGCCAACTTGAACAGGAACAACTTGGCGGTCCATGTGGCGCTGCATGGAGCCGGGGGTCAGCTGAGCTCTGTCCAGTAAGCGGGCAGAGGCTTGGTGTGTTGAAGACCCGGAGGAGAAACAGACGGGGAGCAAGAGAGCTTGGGAGCTAGGGGAACCAGGGAGGTCAGGAACGGTTGGGCCTCAGTCCCACCCCAGGGAGCAGGACCTTCAACCATGGCAGAAGTGCTGGCACACGGCCAGCCCTCCCCCAGAGGGGCACAGGCAAGAGCCACCGACCCCTGGCTGTGGCTGCGGGCGCAGGAGGGCAGCGTGCAGCTGGGGTGTGCGTGGGTGGCAGCAAGGAGGGGCAGAGGGAGGAAGCTGGCTTCCTGAAGCCTCCTCAGCCTCAAAGACCGACCAACAGACAGACAGACAGCTGGTGAGAGGCAGCCTGGGGGACACAGCTGCTTCAGTAAGTACCTGAATGGGGGGAGGAGGGGCCCCTGTGGTCCTGGGGTGGTGTGAACCCTGGGGAGATGGGAGGGCATCTCCAAGGCGGGTGTGAGTGAGGTTGCATTGGGTGCTATAGGGCCTGGCTGGTGAATGGGTGCTGACCCAGCTGATATCCCCGAGGTGGGGGGTAGGGTAGGGGAGCCGCGGGGTGGGGTAGGGGGCTACAAAGACAGCAGAGGCTAACGAACCCCTTTCTGCTTTGGGAGAACCTCTCTCTATCACCCACATCTGCACAGGGCCCCGCTCTTGTCCCCTCACCTCCGTCCCTCCGGGCTTTGCAACTCTAACACCGCCCCCGCTTCTCAGAAGCTGTGACCTGGCTCTGGAAGATAGGGACTGTCCCCCAGGAGGAGATGGCCCCACCACCTCCATGCCCCCTCTTGTGCCCCCAGCTGTCGCCTCACCATGCGCTGTCGCTCAAGGGCTTGGTGAGGCCATTTCCTGTGACGGTTACAGAGGCGGGAGATGGGGGGATGGGCAGAGGAGGAAGGAAACAACCCCCCCCCAACAGCTTACCTCCCTGGATAGAGACCCCAGAAGCCAGAATGGACTCGGAAGCTGCCAGTGGTTAGGACAGGGTCTATAAGGGTCCCCAACTGGCTCCAAGGCTACGAGAGGCCTTAAACCTCTCATGTCAGAGAAGGCCTGGACTAGAAGTGGTTTCTGTGAGCCTTCTCTCTCCCTTCTACACAGAACATATCATTTGTATTTCCTCCCTTGCCTTCTTTCACTTGAGCCCCAACTTAGAGCCCCTTGTACTCCCGCTTCGGGTGGCCTCTTTTCCCCTCTCTGGCTCCTTCCGCAGGCTTTCCTGCCCTCCCCCACAGTCTTTACCCCTTGTCTGGCCCCTACTCCAACCTCAGACTGCCCACCACCCTGGGCCCCTCCGTAGAGATCCTGGCCTTCCCACAGTGAAAATGGCATTGCTACTGGGAGAACAGGAGACACCCCAGTAAAAACAGAGGTACCAGAAAGCAGGCAGCTGGCCGGGACTTGGGAGCCTGCTCCTGGATGGTCAGACAGGCCAGAGGTCAGCAGCTGAGGGGCTCTGTCTTTCAGGTGAACCTCATGGCTGAGTGAGCCTCCCCTGGGCCCAGCCCCCCACCCCAGCATGGTCCAGGACCACGGGGGGTGCTCCAGAGCACAGCGGCCAACCTGCTCCTTGGGGGCAGCCATGACCCAGCCTCCACCCACCAAAGCACCAGCCAAGAAGCATGTGCGGCTGCAGGAGAGGTGAGTTCTTTCCTGAGAGTGGGGGGCCTGTCCAGCCCTGAGACTGTGCCCCGTTCCTTCCCTCTGCCCCTCCAGCTCTGACAGCTGGGTCCAGAGGGCCCTCAGCTGTTGCCTCCAATCTGGAAAGGAAACCAAACGTGTTCATTTGCATGTCCTTTACATGTCTGGGGCATAAAGTTTCATGTCAGCCTTGAACCTGCTTCCCAAGTTGGGCTGAGTAGCCAGTCATTCCCCTGCAGCAGGGCTGTCTTGGGTCTAGATGTCGGTCTGAGCTTTAGGGGCCATGAAGGAATGGGCAGGGGTGGGCAGTTGGAGAGGGCAGTTGGGTTCAAGGCTGCCCCAATCTGACTGACAAAAGAAGGCCGTGTAGCAGGGGCCTGAGCCCTTGAACCCACTGGGCCTGTGGGTCAAGGGGCAGACAAGGAGCAGTCTCCTGAGACGCATCCTAGAACAATACTAATGGCCAGAGCGGCAATGTTCTTGGGTGCTCACTAGGCACTGGTTGTCTGCCTGCAGGCGGGGCTCCAATGTGGCTTTGATGCTGGATGTGCGGTCCCTGGGGGCTGTGGAGCCCATCTGCTCAGTGAACACACCCCGGGAGGTCACCCTACACTTTCTGCGCACAGCTGGACACCCCCTTACCTGCTGGGCCCTGCAGCACCAGCCGCCCAGCCCCAAGCAGCTGGAAGAGGAATTCTTGGTAAGAACTCGGGGTCTCCTCCAAGTCCATGTGCCCTTAGGAATCAGAGACAGCCAACTGGTGCCACCCTATTATGGGTACTGCAGGGACACCTCCTCTTTGGGACCTCAGGACAGAGAATCCTAGGGCCCAGGGAGAAAACCGCCCCGTGCCCCGTCTTCTGCCCTTCACCCCTTCCAGACCTACTGAAGGCAGGAGAGAAGAGCAATGGCCCAGCTTTACTAGATAAGGGGGGGAGGGGGAAAAAGGGGACTGGAAAGTATATCAGCTATTCACTCATTTCCTCCCTCTGCCAGAAGATCCCCTCAAACTTTGTCAGTCCTGAAGACCTGGATATTCCTGGCCACGCCTCCAAAGACCGATATAAGACCATCTTGCCAAGTAAGGACTGCGGTGGGCAGCGAGGGAGGTGATGCTGGCCCTGGGGCTGGACAGGTCCAGAAGCCTCAGCCCAAGGAAGAGCTCCCTCACCCGGAGCGCTCTCTTTCAGCAGAGAAATACCAATACCATGCCCTGGCTGGGCAAGGGGCAGCCAGAATCACAACCACAGTAAGGATACAGCAACTCATATTTGCAGACGTTTACCGTGCGCCAGGCAGTGCTGGGAGTCGCGGATATTAACCCATTTCTCAAAATCCATGGAGTGGTTTGTTATTACTCCCATTTTTGAGGCCATGGAGTCACAGAGAAGTTGCCTCGGGGGCATCACTTGCCCGAGGCCACAGCTTCTCTTTCCTCTTCCTCTGTTGTGGGAAATGCCCAGCCGAGGTCTGTAGTGTCAAAGGCACCATCAGGATGGCTCCCAGAGAGAGGGTTTTGAGCAAGTCAGGTGTGGGGGGTCTGTAAGAGAGAGGGGACAAGTTTGTGGATGGGAGTCCTGGGGCTGTAAGGGGTTGACCCTACAAGCTCGAAGGGCCCAGGGATCAGCACCTCCTACTTTGCAGAGGCAAGCCTGAGACCCTTAGAGAGTTTCTACCTTCCCCGCTCAGAGAAGCCTGGCTTGGCCAACCCACCCCAGCATCTCCAGTCTGGAGGCCTTGGCTCACCACTCCCGGCTCCTGCGGTGAGACAGCCATGGGCCCGCAGGGGCGGGTCAGCACTCATCCAATAAGGCGGAGGGAGCAGCCCTTGTTCTCAGTCTAAGTCTAACCAGCTTCCCCCACACCCCC